CCAGTATACTTTTCCTGTTTTCAACACATTTGAACATTTGTAAGAAAATGCAGTGGCAGGTTCTTTAGCTGTTGGACTAGGTTGTGTAAGCTGGATACTTTCTGTTATAAACAGGTTGCGATATTTGGTCTGGTATATGTTCTGGAAAGCAGAGGAAAACACCAGGTCAGAAGTTTGCTGTCATTAGTGTGTATCACAAAGCGCGTGCTTGTTTACAAGAGAGGAAGCCCAGACCGTACAGGTTGTTGGGAAAAGTGAGGTCTTATGATTTCCAGGAAATGTTACATAAAAGGTTTCCAATGTGTGTATGTGAACAGCCTTATCAAATCTTGGCTTGGTTTAATCTGATGACGCGGAATGAAGGGATTAGCTGCCCAATTCGGCGGGGCTCGTACTCGTTTTTGTGAGGTGAGACTGTCTGAACCATGCAACTCCAATAAAACTCCCTCAGCTGGCTGTCAATCAGAGACTCCTGTGTTTATTAAGAGTAATCCGCTACAACAAAAACACTGCCCAAAAACTAATTAGGGCTAACTACCAGAATCATATTCATCAAACATGTTCCTGCATAATGAGTACAGGAACCTTATATGTTGCTATGTAGGAATGAAGTGCGTCTACATTTTTTGTAATTGAGGGTGGAACGCCTCTCCTCTATCAGACTCCCATCAACACTGAAACTATGCTCAGAAGGAGTACTTGTTGCTGGTATTGCTAGCAGCCTCTTGGCAACTGGCACAAGCCCACCTGACCTCTCCTGCCAGAAGTCGAGAAGAGACTGGAAGCGAGTCAACTTAGAGTCACTCATGTATTGTAGCACCAACTGGTGGCCCCATGGCTCCGTATTGCCCCTGTCCTCCTCCCTCTCTTCCTCTTCAACATAACTGGCAAAGAAGTTGTGTACTTCCGTGGCACCTGCCTCTGGGGGTGGATCTTCAGGAAAAAAGACAAATTCTTGCATTGCATTGATAAATGCATTATAGTTCTTTACAGTCTAACATACTTATTCTAGGTATTACCTATAATATACATTACCTATAGATATAATACATACATCTGTGAGTGTATGTGTAGCTTTTAAATAAATAAAAATAAGACATGTTACTACATTTAAAACTGATCAGTGAGTGCTCCGTTGATGCTAGTGTTATTCACCCTCTTTCTCCACATGGCCTCTCACTCTCTCCTCTGTCCCTGCTGTTTGTGTGAGTGCTGCCAGGGTGTTGATGACCTCCTCATACTCCTGACCGTAGAGAGTTTTCCTCAAGAAACTCCTCAAGCTAGGAGAGAGCGCTGTGGCTATCTTATGGTACAGGTGGATTTTGAATTTCAGCTCCACTGCCTGGGCTAACTTCCCTTTCAGCTAGGGGGAGGAGGAGTGAAATCACATCATGATACAACAATAAAATCATGACAACGGTATACTCAACATCATTACTGTGGGGGCATAGAGGTTTCAAGGCAGACAGGCACCAAGCTTGATGCATGGAAATGTTTTAAATTTATATATTTAACTTGTACATTGTTTCTCTTGGACAACATCACACTCACAATTAATTTCTTGACTTGCTCACTGTTATTGGATAGGGCCAAGCTCCTAATAGCTACTTGAATGACCACCAAATAAACAACAAAAACCATTAATGTATTACCTCTTTCACAATCTCACTGTCTCCATCCTGGATTGACAAACCCCTTGGGTTGCTTTGGTTGGGAGGACAAGGTGAAGGGTAGGTGTCTGATCAGTGGAGAGGTGCCTAGTAGCCTCATCAAAAGGTTTCAGGAGTTGGATGATGTCCTCAAGAAGTTCGCAGTCTATGTTGTTGAGGTAACGGAGCTCGTTTCYGCGAAGCAGGATGTCATGCAGCTTACCGGACCTCAGTGCATCATTTACAGATRYGAGCATTGCAAGTCTGGTATTCCACCTTGTCTCCACTGCTTGCTTCAGTGACTGGTCTAGTCCCTTTTGTAACCTAAAATTCAAAGAAAGGATTGGGGTACAGTGATCACAAATTACAATTTGTTGGCTTTTCTTTTGGAAAAGAAACATTTAATTAAAAAGTATTTACAGTTAATAAAGTCAAGAAAATGTGACTTTTGCTATTATAAATTACTTTTTAGATAACTAGATAGCTTTGGATAACTTTATGCTTATTTAATTTATCATATTTTATATGACAAGATTTATCTTACCCTGCTCTTTTGAAGTGTGTGACGAGGGTCTTTGTGTCCTTAAACAGCTTGATGATGCTGCTGTGCACTGGGTTGTCCTCCTCATCCAAGTGGTCAAATACATGTTTAAAGATTAAGTTGATATTATGGCCGACACAAGAGAGTCGCACATAGTCCTTGAAAGCTGCTATCCCATATGAGCCCTTACCTGTCACAAAGACAGTGTTCTTACTCAGGATGCCAAACTCCTATGTTAGGAAGAAAAAAAAGACAAACAAAAGCTTAGCAAATAGAAGCCCAGACATAAGATCATCATAAACATTTTGATTGACGGTCATCACAGAGCACTTTTCAATACATTTATAATACTATATTAGGACAAAACATAGTGTTTACACATAATCTTAGTGCATATCAGCACAGGAGGATACCAAGATTCTTCTTCTTCTTCTTGGTTTTTTATGGCGGTTGGCAAACAACATTTGGTGCATTACCGCCACCAACGGTAAGGAGTGTGAACCAGAACTAGCAAGCAAAACAAACAAACAAACAAACAAACAAACAAACAAAAAAACCTAGATTCTTTTAATTAATCCTGTTACTATTAGATAATGAAACATAATCTTATAACTTGCATCAAAATATGTCTTTCCTAATAACTTAAAAAAATTATATTGCTCTTTTTCTCGTTCAAGACTTCTTATCATTTCAGTTCTTTCTTTCGGGTACTTTCTACATGTTGACATAACATGCTCTATAGCAGGGGTGCCCAAACATTTTCCCTGAGAGGGCCAAAATTAAAATCAATCTGAGGGCAGCGGGCCAAATTCAATAATATAAGAAATGCAAATACTTAAGTAAAGTTGTTTTATTTTTTATGATTAAGCTAGCAGTCAGTGTGGTTGCTCACATTCTTTAGTTTTTTTTCAGCCCATGAACATGGAGAAAATTCAACGTATGCTCAGGCAGCAAAGACTCATGGGACTTTTCATAATTTAAAATTTGAGTTTATGTGGTCTTATAAGGTGTGCAAATCTATATATGGGCTTAAATCTAATCTAAATGTCTTTTGTAGTTACTTGTATTTTATATTTAATCTTAACATAATTACAATCTAATAACCAGGACATCTGCTGGTGGGCCAAATCAAATGGCTCGGCAGGCCAATTTTGGCACACGGGCCCCACTGTGGGCACCTCTGCTCTATAGTTTCAATTTCCCCACAAAACTCACATCTTCCTGTATCATGTTTCCCCATTATACTGTATGTAAAGTTGCATTAAGTCCCGTATGACCCAACCGTAACCTTGTTATTATTCTTTCCTGCAATCTATTTCTTCCAACACCTCTTCTACTTTCTCCAACCATTCTTTGAATTCTATAGAGCCATCTTCCTTTTACATCCTCTTCCCATTTCTTCTGCCATTTTTCTCTAATTTTTTTTAAATAATGCTTTTAGTCTCTGACTTACTAAATGAAACTCTTATATTAACTTCATTCTTCCTTGCAGAATCTTTGGCCTTCTTGTCTGCCATTTCATTTCCTTTCACCCCTATACGTGCAGGTACCCATAAAAACACAAGTATTAACCCCATCATCTGTATCCGATATAGTATTTGCTGTATGTCTATTAAAATATCTGGACGACTTTCTGAGTGATTTCTTTGTATACTTATTAAAGATGAGCTTGAATCAGAGCATATGACAGCTCTTAAAGGTCTTACTTCTTCAATCCATTCCATTGCCAACATTATTGCAACCATTTCTGCTGTGTAAACAGATAACCCTTCATTTAGCTTCGTCCCTATTTGAATTTTAAATTCTGGAACTATGACTGCTACCCCTGTATCACCTGATTGATTCTGGGATGCATCTGTATAAACTTTTACATCATAAAATTTATCTATGTACTCATGTACTACTGTTGAGTTACAAATGGATGTTTTATCTACTTGCCTTATGTGTAACAAAGTTAAATCTACATTTGCTTCCGGTATAATCCACGGTGGAATTATTGACAATGGCACAGTTGGACTGATATTTAAATTACTTATTTCTAATTCATTTGTTTCCTGTATTATTTTCAAACCAAAAAATGTATTGACTGCTCTGTCCATCTCCCAACATGGCTGTAAAGCTGTGCAGGATGGTTTTTGCTGTGTCCCTTTAGATTAGCCCAATAATTTAATGACAACTGACTCCTTCGTAAAGTCAGTGGCATTTCTCCCATCTCTTCCTGTAGAGCTGAAGTTGAAGTTGTTTTCATTGCACCTGAAATAATCTCAAAGCCTGATATTGGATATTGTCTAGTTTTCTGAGAGCTGTGTCAGAAGCTGATCCATATACTAAACAACCATAATCTATAGTTGATCTTATAAGACTTGTATAAATTAATTTTAATGCTTGTGTATCTGCACCCCATTCATATCCAGCTAAACATCTTATTACATTCAGTATTTTTTTACATTTAACAATAACCTTTAGAATATGAAATGTCCAGTTTAGTTTATCATCAAACCATAATCCTAAGAACTTAAATTGTTTTACTCTCTCAATGTCCTTTTTATATATCTTCAGTTTTATTTCCTGATTTACTTTGTTTGTAAAAAGCATTAGTTTTGTTTTATCAACAGAAAACTTCAAACTCCATTTATAAGACCATTGCTCAATCTTATAAATTGCATTCTGTACCTTTTTATTAAGAAATTTTAAGTTTTTCCCACGCTTCCATATAGCCCCATCATCAGCAAAAAGAGAGCAACCCATTTCATTCTCCATTTCTTTAAATACATCATTAATCATAATTGAAAATAACAGTGGTCTTATTATACTACCTTGTGGAGTACCATTTTCTATGCCAAATTTTTCTGATGAAGTCTGTCCAATCCTTACTTGTATTACTCGATCTGCTAAAAACTCTTTCAGCCAGTAATATATTCTGCCACTAATGCCAATTTCTCTCAATTTGATCATTAATCCTTCTTTCCACATCATCTTTTTCTATATCTAAGAATACAGCCAAGACACTTTCTTTATTAAACTGAGCTTTTTTAATCTCATGTTGTAAACATAATGCAGAGTCCATTGTGTTCCTTCCCCTTCTAAACCCACTTTGATATTTAGCCAAGAATCCCTTATTTTCAATATAAAATGTTAATCTTTCATTTACCATTTTCTCCATGATTTTACACAAGCATGATGTTAATGCAATCGGTCTATAACTTAAAGGATCTGCCTGATCCTTCCCTGATTTTGGGATTGGTATTACTATAGCTTCTTTCCAACTTTTAGGTAATTTCCCACATTCCCATATTTTATTGTATAATTCTAACAAGATRGCTTTAGAATACTCACTAAGTATATTTATCATTATATATCCAATTTGATCATTTCCTGGAGTTGAATTTTTTACTTTCATTAATGCATATCTTAACTCAGATATTGTAAAATATTTATTTATGATATTATTATTATCTTTCTAATTTATTTTCATCTCTTTCTAATATGGTAGTTTCTCTTCCCTTCCTCCACTCTTCACTAATATTATTTGAGCTATGTATATTAATAAATGTTTGAGCCAACAATGTAGCTTTTTCCTCATTTGTTACTGCCATTACTTCATCTTTAATTAAAACAGGACAACCATGTTCCTTCCTTATACCATTCATTCTTTTTATCATCTTCTAGAGTTTGCCTATTTCTGTTTCCCTTCCCAAAGTGTTACAAAACTTTCTCCAATATTTCCTTTTCATGTTCCTTATAACTCTTTTTACCATGGCTTGCCTTTTTTTTATATTCGATTAAATTCTGATAGTTGTGATTTCTTTTTAATATTTTGAAAGCTCTTTTTCTTGTTTTAATAACCAGATCACATTCTTTTGTCCACCAAGGCACTATTTTCCTCTTGTTTTTACTACTTTTCTTTGGAATTGTATTTTGAACGGCTTCTATAATAAAGTTACATAATTGAAGATTTACATAATCTACATCCTTACTCATATCTATTTCCTTAATTTTATTTTCACTTATTGTTTTATATTTCTCCTAATTCGCTCTACCAAAGGACCACTTACTCCCCTCCCCAATTTCATCCCCTTGTCTATTTAAGCCTACTTCAATCATTATTGGAAAATGGTCACTTCCAATATTAGTTTCTTTAYTTACATACCACAAGCAGAGTCCAGCCAGTGGATCAGAAACTAGAGTAAGATCAATAGCTGTCTCTGTACCATTTCTGATGTTAGATCTTGTTCCTTCCCCATTATTTATACACACAAGATTTTTAGATTCCATTAATTCCTCTATAACTAATCCATTCCCATCAGTCTTGTGTCCCCAGATTGAATTATGAGCATTAAAATATCCACACCATATTACTTTTTCATCCAGATAAACTAAAATCTCCTCCAATAAACTTAAAGTCAACTTTTTACAAGGATTGTAAAAATTTATTAGTTTAAATCTATTTTCTTTTGACCATATTTCAATTGCTATAAATTCAAGCTCTTTCCCTTTCTTTAAAACTCTATAGGTCAATCCCTGCTTTATGAATATCACACATCCTCCTCCATTACCCTCCTCCCTATCCCTCCGTATACTATTATATCCATTAACGACAAAATCTAGCATAGGTTTTAACCATGTTTCTTGAATACATATAATTTCAGGTTTTATTTTAAGTTTATGTATGAATCKTTTTAATTCCTGGCCATTTGATATTAGACTTCTAGCGTTCCATTGTAAAATTAGCATGCTGACTTTTCATCGGTTCCTGCTTGTTTGCCATCTGCCTCAAGATTTTGTTTGATCTGTTCCCATGAAATATTCCTCATTCCTAAAAAATTTTCAGCCCCCTTCACAATGATTTTAATTTTTTTCAGTTTTGTGTTTAACCTGATCAGCGCAGTTTATGACAAAAGCAATGAACAAAATCAACTTGTCAAATTCTATTGAGTTACTATTCTTATTATGTTGTTCTGGTTCTTGTCTCGCTGATGGAATATTAACTACATTGTCCTGTTTTTGCTCCTGAACCTTCTTCAATGCCTCAGCATAGCTTAAAGGCACAGTGTGTAGGATTTGTTGTTTTCAGCTACATCTACTGGTTGAGTGGTTGAATCATCCTCCCTGGTCGTCGTCCCCCCCCCCCCCCCCCCCCCCCCCCCCCCCC